GAGAATTTAAGACTTAAAAAAACAACCAAAGAAAAGAAAAATAGTTCGAAAAATAAGTATAATACTGGAAAGCAACAGAAGAGGGGAATACAGAAGAGAGAAATAGAGGGAGAGAGACAAGGGGGTAAAAAGGGGAGAGAGAAGAAGGAAAGGAAAAGAAGTTACAAAGGACCGGAACAAGATATACAGAAACAGAACCTATTTAGAGATAATGGGTGAAAATTTAACTGAAAAAGGGATTCTGTAAAGGTACATAAGATTGTATTGTTATATTAGTAATAAAAATAACTTTAGAAAATTGGAAACAATGTATGATTAAAATGAGGGATAAAATAGTTCCTGTAATCTAGTGAAATGTTTGTTAATAAAATAAATAAAATAAAATAAATGAGAAAATAGAATTAGGAAGGGACAGGAACATTTTAATTAGTTGTTTTATAAAATATAAGTGGGGGGAATTAATTATGGAAAGCTTATAACTGTTCCCATAGAAGTATGATATTTAATTGAAAAGTAATGTTAAAGAAGTTAAGATTTTAATATTAACATTGATAGAATTGAATTGGAATGGAATGTGTTGTTTTAATTACATATATTTATAATTTTTTCTTTGTTTAAGAATATAGTGTGTATTTTAAGAACGTACCAAGCAGAATCCGAATGGAAGTCATTTATTATATTGAATGTTATAACTTTAGGGTATATATTGAAGCCTAAATAAGAGTTAAATGGATGAACTTAAAAGATATAAAGGCGTCATGCTCCAATCAGTAACTATAGGAGAAACTTTGTTTAATGAGAAAAGATAATTTCAAAGATAATTGAAACAGGACAGAAAAAAATATAAATATAATGATTTGAATTGAGACGAGATAATTAAAATAAAATTGAGAAAATTAAAAGAGGGGAGAAGCTATGCAGAAAATGTAAAACAGTAATAAGATATGGAATAGAACAGAAAAATGAGCATGAAATTGAATTTGTGTCTGTACGAAGAAATGTAACCCGGGATTTTGCTACTTTCAAAAAAGATGTTTTATTTGTATTTTTTTGTGAAAACTCAAATAAAATTTACAAAAAAACAACAACAAAACCCCATAGCCAGGAATCTTGGCTTACAAACTTGTTATTCTGTGTGCTATCCAAATTATGAAATTAAAACAAATATTAACTATCACTTCCTGCTGCCGGACATTAGGTTAGGTATTAGGAACCAATTCCCCCCCCCACAATCTATCTTTGCCCTCGGACTCACCCATGTACAATGGTTCTAGTCTCAATCAGGCCATCTGCCTATTTTTATTTTTTACAATCCCCTGCTGGTCAACCATGTTTCTGGGGGTATCACAGGTGGTGAGAAACAAAATAGATGGAAACCATTATCAACAGCGGTCTCTCTGAATCATTGCCTGGGTGTCTTATGATTAGCCAAGGCATACTGTGCACAAATATCTAATGATGGGCTAATGTTAATACACCATCATAAGGCTGAAGTTAGAAAGAGACGGGCTTTTAAAAAAATTACAATCAGCCTTCCTTCCAGAATTAATTCGACAATTTTCCAATTTAACAGAAGTGCGACATTATTTTGGACTCCCCAGAAACGATCGAAGGCAGAACATTAAGCTTCCTATCTTCACATCGCTAACATTTATTGAATGTGCTGAACTGACAACCACAGCATGAATTATAACAAACACCTTAGGTAAGTATATTAATAGTAGTAAACTATGATATCTGTATAATAGTAAGGTAACAGCTCTCTTTATATAGAGCATGAGAAAGAGATACTGGTATATGACTGGAGCACTGAACAGAAGTCTAGAGGACAGAAGGCATGTCCTCTATCCACATTTTTAAAAATTCAGCAAAGGTATTTTTCTTCTTAAAAACGTCCTTAAAATAATAAAGAAGCTGGATATAACTAAAACTTTGCTGTATAACATGCCTAATGACTTTTAAAGTTTGTCTTGGCTCATACAAGGCCAGTGTCCAAACTGCCACAAACATCCTTTCACATATAGGGAAGAGAAAGTGGCTGACAGAACTGAGAAACACCCAAGCTAGGCAGACACAGCTCCTGTATTGTTAACGGAAGCATTGTGCATGAACTGTCGTGACACTTACGGTTATGAGCTACACTGAAAGAACAAACCGAAACAAAACAAATTCTTTTGGAGACGGGGAAGTATGTTGCAATATAAAGTTAGATGAAAAATTAAATGGCATAAAACAATTGAGACGACAGCATGAATTGCTCCACCAAATCCACATCAATCAGCTGTGATGAGATGCCAAAAGGGTTACCCATCATCAATTACAGCCTTTTCCTTGATATGTTGGTTGATGGCATAATACCAGCCCTTAGAAAAATGCAGCCAACTCCTGCCAGGCTGCCCAGGGCTCAGTGGGTATGTTCAACTATTCCTTCATTGACTCGGCCAGGTTAATATGCTATGACTGGCTGCATGTCATCCTGGCAGATGGTTGCTGGTTGCTTTTCTTTTCCATAACTGTGCCTGCTCCATAATCTCAGTACCTGCTGCTAGAAACGCCTTTCTGCCTCCTCCCTTCAAGATTTTGGTTTCTTTATTTGTCCTTTATTTTCTTTACAAACACGGTTTACCACCTCAATTTTGTACTTTTTCTGATGTTTTTGGACTATCTGCTCTGCAGTAATATGAAATCTAGAAGGGTTTTCCTTTACAGGAACGGGTGGGTATGTGATTACAAACTGTTTAGGATAAATTCTACACAGTAGCTGGATAAGATGTTATTACAAAGGACTGAAAATAATGTTTAAAATATAATTATGAATCTAGTTATGTAAAATCAAGGTGGAATTAAAAACACACTAACAAAGTTTGTATAATTAATGGTTAAAAGGACAGCACCAAAAGTTGATAAACATGAGTAGTAGTCCTGTCTTAGGCATGAACCAAATGGGCAATTTTAACCCATCACTCCGTCTCAGGCCTAGAAAGGAGGCAGTAAAAAAACATTTCCAAAAATGTAGTTTCCAGGAATCGAAACTGACTAAAAAAAAAAAGTCCTATCATTATTAAAGGAAAAAGCAATAATCAAAAGGACCACTCTTTCATTTTTTCCACTCCCAATTTCAGCAGTCAATACGAAATGAATTTAGCCATTAACTTAAGAAAATAAATACTGCACTATGAGAAATCATCCAATATAAAAGTCTATGAATGTTGCATTGTGTATTTTTGATGTACTTCAATCCAGATGATTAATATTACACTGTTTAAATGTGCACAGACCATAACCACCATCTGGTTCCTTTTGGGTTAGAATTAAACATTTCATTTATCGTTCATACTCTCTAATTCAACACCCCTTACCCTGCTTTCTAAAATCATCTACTGTACTATTTAAATATAAAGATAAATTCACCAAGATGGAAGGGTAGATGACTTTATCATGTTAGTTATCTTATTATAGAGAATAAATCCATCGCTATGAAATACTCTATATACAAACAGAGAGAGTGAGCAGGTGCTCCAAGCCATTCTAGTTTAGCTACTGCCTCTTTTAGCAAGTTTGCAATTACAATGGTAATGAAAAAGTAGCTTTGCAACCAGTCCACATATTTACAGCCTTTGCAGATGTGCAAAGCAAAGGAAAACTGAAGTAACATCAAAAACTCAGTTGCCATTTCACTCAGTGGCCACTTCACTTAACAATCAAGTTGCCGGTCCCAATTGTGGCTGCTGACTTATCTTCAAAAGCACCACATAGGCCGTCAGATGCATTCACTGCAAACATTTGAGAAATAGTCTTTCATTGTTTTACTGGCAAAGGTACAGACAGTTGTCAACTTACAACAAATGAGACCAGAATTTCCATTGCTAAGCAATGGAATTGTAAAGCAAGACTCCATTACTTAGTGATGGCAATCCCTATAGTCCCATTTGCTGTTGTTAACTGAATCCCATAGTCGTTAGGCGAGGCAACGTCCTGCTGGCTTCCATGACCAAACTCATTGGGAAAGCAATCAGAAAGTTTCAAGTCCTAGGCTAGCAGCCAGGTTAACCTGTTGGCTTCTTCATTGTTTTTCTGGGGAAGCCAACAGGGAAGGTTGAAAATCATAATCATGTAAATTGCTCTTGACAACCAATCGTAAACTGAATGGTGTTGCCAGGGACTCAGATTGGGATTACATGACCATCAAGGTGCAGGAACAGCTGGAACGCCTTCGTAACTTGGAATAATCTCTGACCAAATGGTTGTAGGTTGAGGACAGTTGATTATGAGAGCCAGTTTGGTGTAGTGGTTGAAGTGCTAACCTAAAAAGCAGGAGACTGTAAATGCTAGTCTTCCCGTAGACAGAGCTGACTGGGTGACTGAGCAAGTCACTCTCTTTCAGTCAAGGACACCCCACCACAGGGTTGTTGTTGCAGGAATAATAGAAGGCAAAAATACCAAATATGTTAGCTGTCTTGAGGTGACAATGAATACACACATAACACACACACACACACACACACACAGAGCAGGTGAGATAAAAATATAATAACTAATAATGCTCAAATATAATTAAATGCATTAATTTCAATCTTTCTTATCTATGTTGGAAAGAGTGTAATAAAGCTGCAAATTGCTAACTCTTCTGTGACTCAGAATAGCTGCCTAAATTCCTACCATCCCAGCCTACAGGGCTTTAAAGGAAAAACATTTGTCTTCCATTTCTCACATAGAAGCACTGCTACTATCTCCTCTAAGGAGACAGCAGAGCTGTGAAAAAAAATTTCTGTGTGCTAAGCTACTGTACCAGTAAACTTCTGAATATTTTTGTACAGCCAAATGTTCTTGCCTGCCCCTTCCAATGTCACTGTTTCTACATCTTTCAGACAAAAAAAAAAGTCATTTGCAGGGAAAAGGTCTGTTACCCCTCTGTTCAAAACTGGTGTGCTCTTGTCATTTCTTTTCCTGTTTGTAAACAGTAACAGTTGAAGCGCTCATCAAAGTGTTCACATCAAATTTAGTAAGAGACATATCACAGGGAATATGTGCCCAGACTACAGGATGTACACGACAATGATATAAAACTGGTACGTGCACACACAAACATACACACATACATATGAACACACTCCTAAGCAAAAGAACTGAAAACCTAGGGTAGAATTTGATGCAAGATCAAAGTAACCTAATGAAGAGAGAAACAGAAAGGAAAAGTAGGAAGAAGAAATATGGAAAGATAAGAAAAGTAGGGAGATAAACAAGTTACAAAATCCTCTCACTAATTCTAAAATGCTTTACTGTATACTTTATTGTTCAGAGAGAACTGGAAGAAAGCATGTATAAGCAAAGTATCATGTAAGATATTCTTTTCCTCCTCTGATACAATAGTCTCAATTAATTTTTTGCCGGCAACCAGAAATTGGACTTTTCAATTGCTCAAATCTTTCCTGTACATACGTAATTTCTATTATAGTCCAAAACCAGTATAAAAGTAACCTCCTGAATTAAACTTCATCCCGCGTTAAGAAAGCCCCAGACAGACATTCCTAACACAGTTTTTTGACAAAATATTATAGATTGAAGACATTCACAGAATTAAGCATTCCACTAATCTACTAATTGCCATGCTCTGCATATGCCTCAAAGGCTTTCAGGCTGAGCAACTGCAAACTTTTCTACATCAAATTTAAAATGATAGGTATTCATTATGTTGTGCTTTGTATCAAGACCTTCCAGTGTCCCATTGCCATTTCCCACTGTGTTCTTGACCTGGAAAATAAAAAGAAAAGCTAATTTTATGCTGAGTGACTTTGGAGCAAGTCACATTTTCTTACCCCAGCTACCCCATAAGGTTGTTGTTACAGGGGAAAATAGGAAAGAGCAGCCAGACTTCTCATATCTAGCACTGGTCCATATAAGCCCATACTTCTCACTGACTTAATCAGTTTCAGTTATGTTATTTTATTTTTACTTTGTTTTGTGAGTGCACGTAGGTGAAGTGTCACTTATTTTGGCTATATCCTGCAGCCGAATTCACTGGAGAAAGCAATTATGCTGGGAAGATTTAGCGGATGGCTGGACACCAACCAACTGCCACCAGCCACATCATAGAAAAACTCAAAGAAGCGGTGCAAGATTGGAAGATGTGGAGAGACCTGCCCAAAGAAACCCCAAGAGTCAGACACCACTTAATGGATAACATCTTTATCATATATGTGAGAGCCATTTAGTGTAATGGTTAAGACACCAGGTTAAAAACTCTGAGTTCCAATCCCACCTTAGGCTCAAGTCCAGCTGGTGACTCTGGGCCAGTTCCTCTGTCTCAACCCTAAGGAGGAGGCAAGGACAAACCACTTCAGAAAATATTGTCAAGAAAACTGCTGGGACTTTTTGTGTAGTTGAAGGAGTTTAGACTGACCTAAAGGTGCACTTTTGCACAGGTGCATAAACACACAAATGGGTATGCATATATTTGTGTTGTTATGTATGTGTGTGTGTGTAAACACAGATTTTAAAAATTGGTTTTTTTTCAGTGTGTGTTTGTGTGTGTGTGTGTGTGTGTGTGTGTGTAGGGAATGAAAAGAAAAACAGTTTTGGAAATCCCTGTTTTAAAAGGATCCTGTATTTTCTTAATAAAAGAAGTTCAAAAAACCTATTTCTTCATAGGAGGCACATTCTCATAGCCATATTCAAATTAGAATTTGTGACGTAACATGATGTAACATGACCTTTTGACTTAAAAAGAAAAATCAACGTGACTATATGTTACTCTAGCTCAGGGGTGTCAAACTCAATTTCACTGAGGGCCACATCAAGATTGGTTTTGACCCTGGAGGGCCGGTGGGGGCGTGGCCATGGTGGGCATGACATGGGACTGCACCTCTGCAGACATGGTTTTATAAACTTATAAAAATAGGGAGGCGTACATTTCTGTAATTTTGTTTTTTAATACTCACTTGAGCTATTTGATTATGAGAGAGACCAGATTAAGAAACTGATTCCATAGGAAGGCTAGGACTACAACATTGTTGACATAGGCTAGACTAGCAGAATCCTGCAAGCCTGAAAGGTAAAATATTTGATTTTTTCTCCCTTTTATAACCTTCTGAGTCACGGAAGGCCTCCTGGACTACTCCAAAGGCTCCCTTTTGCGCCTGGACCGCCTCCCAAAGGACTCCGGAGGGCAAAAGCGGTTAGGGGGGCGCCCACACCCCATTTTAGCTAGCAGAGGCCCCCCCCGCGGGCCGATCTTTTGCTATTTCCAGACCTGCTCTGTGGGCCAGATCTAAACAGCCCGCGGGCTGGATCTTGAGTTTGACACCCCTGCTTTAGCTATTATAGGTCACTGAAGCACAAGCAGTGTAATCTATTTGAACATCATCATTCTATTTTAAAATTTCTAGAAAAACACACATAAAAAAGCAAAACAACAGATATTTTTACACAAAAGTTTTCCCCCCAAAAGGAAAAGAAAAAGGTATCAACAGATGAAACAGAAAAATATTTGTGAGTAAGTAAATGTCGTTTGTCAAGGAGAAACTGTCTCTGGCTGATTATAAGTAGTCTTGGACTTACAACCATTCATTTAGCAACTGTTCAAGTTATAAAGCCACCGAAAACACCATCAAAACTTGATCTATGTCACTTTTTTCATATGTTATAAATAGAAATGCTTTGATTTTAATATGAAGCAGAGAACTATCAAGCAGAATGTGAGCACGTTTACAGCAGTTACAATCTCTCTATTATCTACAATTCTACAAAATATCTGAAATATGAAAAAAACAGTGTAAAAACAGTGTAAAAGCTATAGAAAGATCAGCCAATAATGAAATCTTTCCCACAGCAATCTTTGTTGAATGTTCATTCTACTAATATATTTTCGATCTGTTTCTCCTATCATACTAGCTTAGCTCTAAGTCCTCCCTTGTTTTTTTTCTTCTAATTTTGAAACCATAAAAACCCTAAGCAAATTTACAATTCAAACAGTAGAAGAAAATACCCCTTAACTTATACAGGTTGATTCTGAATTAAATGACATGGAAGTTTTAAATCATAAGTTGGATAGAAGGACCTTAGTTTTAGTTATTTTTGGAAGATCTGTTTGTTGGTACATTGTCAGGTCTAAAGAAACCTCCAATGTAAAACCTTTCTTTCCCCCAAGTGCAAGTCATCCTGCAAATGCTGCCATTATTGACTTGCCTCCTAACATCTGATATAAGAAAAACAAGTTGCCACATTTTTTTAATGGCACACATACTCTCATCTGCCTCACTTCCAATTCTCTCCTCAAGGATACCAAAGAAAAAGAGCAAAAATCTGTAGTGGGGCATGTATCAGTCTACCCAAGAACTCAAGTTAGTTAATTACAATCTGCAAATACACCACAATACATGTTTGATTTCAGATATTTGTGCTTTTATCATCTTTTATATTTATTGTTTTTCTGTTTATTCTGTGATAAAATTCCAGGAGTAATTTTTGTTTAACCTTGAAATAACATTAAGCAGGTAACTAAGTAAGTAAATAAGTAAGTAAATAAATAAATAAAAGGAAAGAATCATTTACCAAAATCTACCCTTGTTAGTATGCACTGCATTGGATGGTCAGTTGTATGCCTTGTCGTTGTTGCACCACTTTCATAACAAGATGCACACAGATCGTAATCGTAGCAAATTAAACACTTGTATCTGCGACCTCGGAAATTGCCTTTTAAACATGCATCGCAGCTGACACCTGCAAAAAACAACAACAACAGAAAATCATTAGCCATTTGCATGAACAATCGACGCCTGTGCAATTTCATTACAATACCACTGTCCAGAATTATTATCAATTCTATCAATTATCTTATAGTTGAAAATTAAGGTTCGTGATTTCATAATTACCCCGAACATGCTTCTCACATTACAACAATCAGCTAAAATACTATCTGTATTCTCCGATAGGAGTCTCCAACATGAGGGGTTCCAGGTCGATTTTGAGAGCCATAATAATACTTACAAAGAGCAAGATCACTAAGGCATGCTTGCAAGTTTATCTCAAAAGAAGATGGCATTGTTTGCAGCCCATTTAAATGAGGTTAACATGTGAAACAACAGTAAGATAGAGAGATGGACTGGCAAGCAAGAAGGGATAGAAAAAGACAGTGCAAGCTTGCCTGCTGCCCAGAATAGAAACCACCTCCTTCATGGACTGCAGAAAAAAAGGAACTGTCAAATCTTGAATTTATAATCCTAATTTTCACCCCCTCCATCTCCCCTCTCCAGGAAAGACTTAGGAGACTGATGGAGATGTACAAAGCTGTGGAATTCAACAGGTATATCAGAGAAGCTGAGGCTAACAGGTGTACACAGAAAGAAAGCATTGTTCCATGTCCAGACAGAACAGGCAGGATGGCTGCATGTTTTGCCTCTTACAGAAATGCTATCAGAGCCAAGCTCAGGACTACAACTTCCTCTTTCCACTGGCCTGTTCCCCACATCACTGGTGTAGCTTGTTACCAGCAGCTGCTGTCCAGAAACTCTGGTAGTGACTACAGATGTTTATGTCAATGTATAAAACTTTCAAAGCTGCAGACCTAAAACGAATAAACTGATCTTTTTGAAAGGCTGGTGATGATCTGAATTTGAGATTCTTGTCCTAAAGTCCAAAGACTTTCTACACATTATTTTGGTAGTTCACACTACCAGATAAAAGCATTTCTGTACAAACCAAAGAGATATCGTTCTTATAATACATTTCATTCTGATCAGAGCATACTGACATAATACTCTTGTTTAATAAATGTATCTTAACTATAAAAACTACTGTAAGTTAAAACAAAAAAAGCTACTGAGATTACTGCTAACCCTTTGATATGAAAGGAATATGTATTGTTCTAGTTATATACAGACTAAAATTATCATTGGTTTGTCCATTAAAAGCTTATAGTTTAAAGGTGTCTAAGAAAAGCATTGATAAAATATCTCAAGCACAGATTAAGAGCATAACATATCATATCTGAAGCAGATAATGTCTGACATTAAAGTCATACCGCGTCCAAAAATATTCATATTAGCTTTGCAAATATGTCATACTAGCTTGATAACCGTATCACTACGAAACTATGTGGTCGGGCTTAGTTTTGGGGGAGGAAAACAAGGGAAAACAATTCTGCCTCTGCCTACCAGCATCCATCGTTATTCACCTGGCTAGCATCCTGTCAGTGTGTGACAGAGTTGAGGGCTGTTTGTAAACTGAAACAGTATTCGCTGTGTGAGCAGGGAGACAGCAAGGAGCCTGGGCATGGCTTAGCTCAACTGTTCTGTACTAAAGCTGCTTGGTGCTGTGAAACTGAAACTCCTCTCCTCTGCTTGTGTTTTGCATTTGGAACAGATTTCTTTTCAGGTGGGAATGGGGAGTAGAACTCCTTTAGTATCGGAGCGTATTAATAATAATATATGAAATACTAATGCTCTGATGGTCATTTTGAAAATTCCTTTCTTAGTGAGCACCTAGAAACCAAGAGCAACATACATGCCAAATTTCAAGTTTGTAGGCTTTACGGTTCTGGAGATTTTGTTATGATGTGTGACTGGTATTTCCCTTTTATATATAGAGATTTTTAAAAAATCAAAAATGTTATTGAATTTCAAAATCTTCCAAATCCTATTTTCTAGTAAAAAAAGAATCTGAAAACTTTTTCATTGTTCAAAACAGCTGAGCTGAAATATTTTACCAGAAGGGAAAGCAAAAAGTAGATTTGCAATTTAACATATATACAGTATGTTTATACATTTCTTCAAATGTGACATCATTTGAGTTCAACAATATTCATTCTAAAGTATTTAACTGACGCATTTAGTACTGCAACCTTAGTATGCTTAAAAGAGAATCATGGACTTATAAGAACTGGAAGGGACCATTTAGAAACATCAAGACTACCCGCCTCCTCCTACTCAATATAAAAAATATACTTTTTTTGTCTGTGTGTCCAGCCTCTTCTTGAAAATATCCCACTACATCTCTGAATAAAAAAAAACTAGTAAAGGCAACAATCACTCGATTAAATGCTATTCTTCCAATATAACTATTGGAAGATTCTAAATAAAACTAGCATTTCCAAGTTTCAGCACACAATGCATTCTAAAATATTAACATTTATTTCGCCCAAATTTTCCATCTAAAATGCTACAGAATTATTCTGCTTTTATTTTTAAACTTTCAGATGGAAGCTTAAAATAATTTACTGATAATACTGACCAAATGCCATGCTTCCTAGTTTCAATAAAAACTAGCAATGCAGATGTTTAGTTTCTCCCTCCCGATGATGTGGCTTTCATCAGCAAAGATTGGTCCAGACAATATTGTAATCAGGATTAAGAACCGGAAAGTATAAAATAGCCTTAATATTTTTCATTTGATTGGAATTTTCATGTCCTGAAAATATTGTGTCAAAGAGTAGAAAGCTTGTGCAGACTAGACACATATTTTGCTGTACTTTTGTATTCCTCTTTTCTTTCTTAGGAGTGAGTAGGTCTAATAATATCACTGCTTCAACACTTGACAGAAAATGAGAGGATTGGCATTGCTGCTGTTGTGACAAGTGATAGAAAGGCTGAGAAAAAGAACAGAATCGGCCCATCTCAAATTGTGGATAAAGATCATTAGCAAGAAAATATCAAAGAAAATCCCATTCCTGTGGCAGAGTCAAGCCAGAGGAGACTGCTGCTACTTGATGAAAGCTTTTTCAATTGTGTGAAAAGGCAAAGAGGCAGAAAACAGACTAGAACGGCACCCCAATCCAATGGGGTTCATTCTTTCATACTAAGTTTAATAAAACATTAAGATTCCATAAATTGTAGATTCTGCAACAGTTCATAAGGTATGCCAATCTGTTGGAGATAGTTTATTACTTCAGAATTGTTTTTCCCAAATCAAGTACCTCCGCCACAGTAGTCAACGATTATAAAAACTGCAGTCCGTTTGCTTTTTCCTAATCTAGGTTATTCATCCACCACGAAAGCAAGAGATACTGAAGAGTAATTGGGATTCTTCCCATTAAATTTGACTTTTCAGTACATGAAGCTTTCAATAAAAGTGTGAAAATTCTCACAAAAGTAAAAAACACTTTATAACAGATCAGGTCATTGCCAAAAAAGGGAAAAATGGAAACTATCTCACCTCCAAAAAAATTAGCTTCCAAGTTTTTACATAGAATAGGGAGAAGAAAAACAATAAAAAATAGAATGATTGCTATAAACAATATTTACATTGGCTACACCAGCAATTATGGAATAATTTTGGAAAATGGATTCATTGTTTTGCAACTGCTTCTCCAAGCTTTCCTGTCCTGAAAATATATTACTACAACCATGGGATCCTTGGTGCTGTCCAAGCATGGTGGTTTTCTTGTAAACGTTTCATTACCAAACCGAGGTAATACCATGAGTCCTAGTGGCACAGTGGTTAAAGTGCTGTACTACAGGCAAACTCTGCCCACAGTGTGGAGTTCGATCCTGATGGGCTCAAGGTTGACTCAGCCTTCTATCCTTCCAAGATTGGTAAAATGGGAATTCAGATTGATGGGGAAATATGCAATATATTTCAATGTTTTAAAAATTGTTTTATAGTTTTAGAATTGTAAGCTGATCAGAGTCACTTCATTGAGTTTGGGTGGCTAGAAATTGAATAAATCAATCAGTCATGATTTATGATGGCTAGGAGGGAGTGGGGTTTGCCCTTTTTTTTACATGCTAGTGGCTTGCCCTTTCTGTGTTGCTAGAAGTGGTCTTGGTGGTTCCTTGATTGGGCTGTTGGCTGCTGTTTGCTTGTTTGGCTGCATTGTTAGTTCCTTGACTGAGGTATTGTTTATTTGTTTGTTGGTCTACTGTGTTAATCTTTGTTTTTATCTCTGCTCATAAGGGCGTTGATTGCTGGTGGGGTGGCGTTTTGGTCTTTTTGTTTCTTTTTTGGCTTTTGAGGTTTATCAAAAGGGACAATCAGATTAAGTTAAGACCAAGATTAACACTAGACTTATACTAGCAATACTCATGCCATTGCCACTGTTCACCAAATCCCACCAGTCAGTAGCCAAAGACCCACCTCAATCCAAGATATAAGTCTACATTTGGGTGAGCAGTCTCCCAAGTGCGTAATTTTGATAATGTGACTATGGAACTGTTGTAATGGCCATAACTTTGAGGACCAACTGTGAGTTATTGTTTTCAGCACTGCTGTAATTTCGAACATTCACTGAACAAATAGTCATAAGTCAAGGATTATCTGTCTAACATTATTAGATAACAGTATTGCAACTTTGTAACATGAGTTCTGAACATTGAGCAGAGCATTTCAAACATTACAGAGTTAGGTTACAATTTTTTCAAACCTGCCTTGGCTATCAAGGCAAGATAAAACATTGTAGAATATATTCTAGTTCACAATATTTAATTTTCGTGATTGCTTATTTCAATAATTTTACAAAAATGTTTTAGGCATGACAGTGTTTTCTTGTAGAGATCAAACACTCAGAAATATGTTTGCAATACAGACAACTTATAATACACAGACATCATACATCTTGTTTTTAATGCCAACACAACTACCTCTAGTATATTATTGATAAATGATATATGCCAGTAGTGGGATCCTACCTTGGTTGCTACTGGTTCGATGGGTGATCATGTGTGTGCATGCGCACCCCCCTAACTTGCGCATCCCTAACGTGCCAATCAGCTGAGAGGATGAAGAAA